ATGTATAATAATCTCTAGTTATCTTGTAAATTCCTATGGTGTCAATTACACTGTTTCTGTTGTCACTTATGATTTTATTTATCGAAGTGCCCTCTTTCTTATTCTTGGCATAGCTGAAGGTTTGCTTTTCTTTTTTGCAGCACCAAGAATGAAAGGCCAAATTATACAATAAGAAAAAAAACACTTTAAAATTAAACATGTAAAAAACTATTGATACACAGAATATATAATGAGCTCGAAACTCAATAGTATGAAGTAATATCTGCCACTTAAATAAGCTATTGACCTAAATAGACATTTCCCAAATGAAGACATATGATGACTAACAAGTTATAAAAATGCTCTGTAGGAAATGTAAATAAAAAACACAATAAGATGACAATATCTCTCCATTAAAAATGACTATTATTCAGAAGTTAAAGGTAACAAGTATTGGTAAGCTTTTGGAGAGACAGCAACACATGGGCACTATTAGATTGTTAGTCGAAATACAAGCTAATAGAAGTATTATGGGAAACAAAATTGAATTCCCTCAAAAAGTGTATAAAAGAACTTTTGTGACAGACACATGCTATCCAAATACTTGGAAGAAGTGGGGAAAAAGATCAGGGATTCAAGGCCAGCCTAGGCCAGAAGAAATCTCAAAAACGAAATAAAGCAAAATAAAGAAACAACCAAACCAAACCAAACAAAACACAAAAACTATCACTAACAAAATATGTAGATGAAAAAACAAAGTGTAAATGGAAGAATCAAGAAGAATTCCCCTATAACTCAGCAATCTCATTGATGGATATTTATCCAAGGGATAAGGGAAACAGAAGTGACAGGTGTTAGTGGAGTCTTTACTCATTTACTAGAACATTATTCTGACCTCCAGAGAAACTCAGTGTTGGGCAACTGATGAATCAAGGAAGCACACTGTAAACATTCACAGAAGAATATTAGTTGTCACTAAAGAGAACAGTTCTTTAACTTGCAAAGAAACATAGGCAGATCTGTATGTCACTAGGTTAGATGACATGAGCTAGGCATGCAAAGCAAGGTACTGTGTGAGCCACTTCATATAAGTAGCCTATACAAGTCATTTTTTCATAAATGGTAACCTTAGAATGGTGATTAGAAGAACTTAGGGATAGTAGAAAGGAGGGAGATGTGAGGAAAGTTTAATCTAGAAAAAGTACAATCTAATTTTGATGTCCAGGTATATTTCATAGAAGTATGACTACAGACAATTTCATATTAAACATCATGTAAAAGAGGACAGATTTGTAGTATCTTCACCTCATAGAAAGAATAAATATTTGAGAAGATTGATACTTATCACAAATTAAACTTTATACAACATGCACAGCTATTGAAAGAACACTTGGTACTGAATTTAAATGTACACTTTTGTGTTATGTAAAACATTTATGTATCTGTGAATAAACTTAATTTAAATTTAAAAATGTACAAAGTAAACATCATAATTACCAACTGGTAGAATTTCAAAAGGGAAACTCCACTGACAGTTTTACACCAAATTAGATATAAAATACTTGCCTTTATTCATACATATTGATACTTAGGTCAACAATACATTGAACTTACTCATTATTATTTGCCATAAAGTTATTCATGAAATTTCAAAGTCAGCAATGAAATATTGCTTCCAGTATTTAGAAACAATACAAAGTAGGCATTGGATGTTTTGGTGTTCTAAAGTTAGGGTCTGAATTGGCTGAAGACACACTAGGCACATTAGACACTCAAATCACACTTCATTCCAAAGCAGTGACATGATTTCCTCAAATCTCTATTGCAGTTTAAACATCAGTGCAATTCTCTTGCTTGAAGATTTCTCTTACTTCTAAATATTTGTAGGGTGTGTTTCACATGTTGTCAGTACCAAAATGCAAACCCAACAATAGTGCTGGAGAATGAAGGCAGGCATAGGAAATTAAACGAGCAGATCTATTAAGTATGCATGTAAGATGGCAGTAGAAGAATAAAGTCTAGCCTGTGTATTTAGGAGGAGGAAAATTATGAAGAGGGGTTAGGTATACATTGAACAATTACCATATGGAAATCACTGGACTGGATTAGTTGCTAATGTACAGGATGCTCTATGCCATGGGGAGACCCAGCACAAACAGAAAATAGGAAGTATCTATTCTAAAATTATTAAAAATATCATGGCAGCAAGAATAACTCATTAACCAATGGAGAAATCTCAGCACATGGCTCTTTGTAACTGTGCAGGTCACATGTTTATGAATTCAGCACTGTTAATTGACTTCTGATACCACTGTTTGGTGGCACTTAGAAAGAGCTAACTGGTATACCCACAATAGCACAACTTGCTAAGAAAAAGCCAAATGTAACTGCAGCTTTATTTCTAGTTACTGCATTTTACCATGCCATTTTGTGAAGTATTTTAATGAAAACAATAGAAGTAGACACTACCTGAGATATACACTATTAGTGACTATTTGCTCTACATTTACTACAGTATTGTGATATGCTAGTTGCTTTCTGTTGACATAGCTTTCTCCCTTTTGTGATGGTTCTGTTGATAGGTTCCCCATTTAAGGTGTAGTTTCACATCCACATGGACTATACATAGCAAGGATAAACAGGAATCTGCAGTTTTATTCAGCCTGTTTAGAGCTAGAACTCCATTGAATGATAAGGCCACAGATCTGAAATTGCTGATGCCGCGCGTTCAGTGGGTTGTGTCCTGGATGCCCCTTTAAAATCTCAGTAACTGATGTGAATAATACTGTCACAGTTGCACGGTATTCTTTGGCACTTTTGGAGGATGGAGGTTGTAAAGGAGAGGCCTTTTAACCACAGGCACATACTCGAGGAATCACTGTATGTTACTCTGCTGTGAGAGGACAACTATAGTCTATATCATATTTTAAGTTTTTTGAGGAAGTTGGGAGAGAAAAGGGCATACTACAAATAGCATGTGTGACTTTGCTCCGAACAAATTGAGGTCTGTGAATTGTATAAGTGAGCAAATCTAATTTTAGTGAACAAAAGAGCCTGCGAGATGCTGAGTGTAATTTTTATGTAAAAATAGGAGTCTCCAAAGACATCTCTCTTTAAACAGATGAATGCAAATTACTGAAGTCATCCAAATTGAGGTTGATTTATGCATTTTTCATTGTACTCTTTCACAACAGAAAAAGCTTTTTCTGTTTCCAAATAGGATGCATTTGGGGTAAAGTTTCACATGGTGCAGCAAGAATGGCTTAGTGAAGAGAGATCCAAACCAGTCATGTAGAGAAATTATTTCTGTATCTTTTTTTCCTCAAATAGAGCTTCTGCCAAATAGGCTGGCCAACTGTCTACTGTATCCATTTTTTTAGAGACTTGAATTTTAATTACACAAATAAAAGTTTTAATGCTATGTATCAGAATATATGATATATGCTCCACTGGCACCCAGTGTATTCAGCAGAGGACAGACACAGTAGGAAAAAAAAACCATCAAATTCCACTTCAATATAAGAAGAAACTCAGTTCTCAAATAAGTGCCAGGCATGAATTTTATTCAGTCACCATTTGAGCATGGTTATGGTTAGTGTCATGATGTAGTTCAGCGTTACATCTGCAAAACTCTTTAAATTGACAATAAGTTGTTGGCTTATGTAGCATCGAAAGAAGATACCCGGTTTGAGAGGATACACTGCATGGTTTACATTACTCTATTCTTTAATTTTGTTTTCTTTTTCTGATCCTTTCTACTGATTCTTAAAATGCTTTTAAATTTTGATTTATTTTATTTTTTATGTGTATCAGCGTTTGTCTGCATGGAAATTTTTGTACTATATGTGTGCAATGCCTATGAAGGTCAGAAGAGAGCATTATCTTCCTTGTTACTGGGGTTTTAGAAAGTTATGAGCGGTCATGAGGGTTCTGGAAACTGAACCCAGGTCCTTTGCCAGAACAGAAAGCACTATTAATCACCAAGCCATCTCTCCAGCCTTTGTTAAAATAGTTTAAGATATACCTTTTACATATATGATATGCATGTAAATATATTTATATGTGTAAATATATGCACCATATATATGCTCTATGAAATGTAATTAATCTATATATTGTTGTGTGTTCATCCATATAGTCAGACAATCACTTATTGATTAAACAGATTTTGACAAGTGCCAAGTAATGTAAGTTTCAGTTCTATACACTGAAAATCTTAGATATCAATCTCCAAATTCAAAGAGTGAAGGTTTCATTTGTCATTGGGGGAGCTTACATTTTTATTTAATAGGTGGGTAAGTTTTGTTATCCTTTCATTCATCTATTATTTTATTTACTTATTTTTATTGAAAAATCACAACAATATATTCTGATCATGCCTTTCTGTTCCTCTCAAATCCTCCCCACCTCCCTACCCTACCCATTCAACTCCATACCCTTTATTTATCTCATTTTAGAAAGTAAACAAACCAAAATATGAACAAAAATCAACAACAAAACCCAAGAAAGACACACACACACACACACACACACACACACACACACACACACACACACACATACACACCACAAAAATGGAAACCACAATATGTAAGCAAATGACCAATAAGGAAAAAAAAAAAAAGAAAACCCCAAAGAAAGAAATATGTTCTTAGAATAAAAAAAAATCTACAAAAATACCATTGAGTTCATTTTGTGTGGGCTAAATACTTCAGGGCATGGGGACCACTCTGAAATGTGGTTCATATACCTAATGAAACTCCATGGAAGAAAACTAATTTTTTCTTCAACATAGGTTATCAGTTATTTGGTTAGGCAGGCTTTGCCCATGTCCACTTCCTTTCAGGGCTGGGCCCCTGCCTGGCTTGAAATAGTGCAGTCCTCTGAGTGCTGTCACAGTCTCTATGAAGTCATGTATTTCATATGACCATCAGTCTGTTGTCTCTGGAAGACATGTTTCCTTTGAGTCCTCCACAACATCTAGACTCCTCTTCCACATTGATCCCTGAGACCCAAGGTGAGAAGTTTGATGGAGATAACCCAATTAGGGAATTCCAAATTGACCTAAAATAATTCCAGGGGAAAATCTTCCCTGGGTTCAGAATTTGCAGTTAGATGTGAACATCATAACAGCTATTTGATGATCATGTATGATACTGAAAACAGGACAAAAGCCTTCTGTTTTGGTATTCTATCCAGACCTAATCCTGTGCTCAAGCTTTACAACTCAAGATTTTGCTGTATACCCTTATTTCTCGGCTTTTCCAGGATACCTGCTTATACTACCTTATTCCTGCTATCCTTTTTCTTCCACTACAATCTGTCTGTCGAATGTGTTAAATGCTGTATTGCTTTTGATCTGTGCTTTGCTGTTGTTGTATTATAAGAGATGATGATGATGATGATGATGATGATGATGATGATGATGATGATATTCTATAGTTTATGGTAATTACAATATGGACTTCTCCAAAGACTTCTAAATTTAAATTTTTGTAATTACCTATGCTTAAAGATTCATGCTGCTTCTGTATTTTCAAGAGATATTCAAATATTTTATTCTTTGTCTTCTGCTCCCTTTCTTTGCTAACTTTGCTCAAGAGGATTATTTCATTTTCTTCTTCATTGTGTAAAGTTCTTTGAAGAGTTTTACAAATGCTTAACTGTCGTGTTAAGCACATAACAGCACCACCACAATCCATCAATTAATAAAAAGGTCTCTGTGCCACATAAAAATTTAGTTAAGACCATGCTCTTCCTACTGAGTGGAAAGAAAGGGTAATGTCCTCTTCCCCGAAAGTCTTCATGATTAGCCTATTGTGTCTCCTTTTATCCAGAAAATTTTTCTGAGGTTCAAACTTTTGTATTCAAATTATGTTACACATCTTTGATATTTTAAAATGTCTCAATTTCAATTATCTACACCAAATTCATGGTCTTTCTTCTAGAACAAAGTGAATTTCAGTATGTCCTATGACTGGATTATTTGATTAACACACACACACACTCACACACACATTCAGTTTTAAATAAGCTTATATTCAAAGGAACCCCAAGTGAATAGAGCTTATAATACTATTTAGTTTCAAGAAAAAAGATAATTTTAGGGGTAGTTGGATAATAGCCCTATTATAGATCCCAGAAAGGGATTGTCTCCATTTTATCTCCAACTCAACCTTATATTCCACATGATTTTTTTTCACTTCTATTATTTTTTTATGCCTTAATATGATCACATCTACTTCTAGTCAAATGTGCACAGATGGTATTTTGGCTTTTATGTTTGTGCTTGTGGTCTTTCCTTCTGAGCAGGCATTAAGCAAATTGCTCCTTCACAGAAACCATTACTTTAATTCCTTACTCCTATTTATATCGATCATGAAATAATCAAATTATACCATCAAGTGGACTAAATGTAATTTGTAAAAAAGGCTTCAGACATGCTCAAAATGAGGAGCTGTAATTAGTAAATCTGTAGATCGATGGTATATTTATGTAAAGTTGACTCAAATAGGTTGTTTCATTTTAAAGCATTGATTATACAAGTCCTGTGTCTAATCTGAGCTTATTTCTAGAGCGTTGGAGCCCTGACAAATGCTATGCAAATTCTCCTCAAGCCAGAGATCTTTATTTAATGATGTTCAAGCCATGTCACCTGAGAACTTAGGAAGTCAACAAAAGCAACACACTGAAGAGAAGCAATGTGAGACATGAACAAAACTTGACTCAATTAACTACTAAAATAATTATGATTATTAGGCATTCAGATATGAAATTGCAGTCATTTTTGATAATTGTTGAACATTTTAAAAAATTTTCTTACACCAATGGTCAGAAAATAGGTCTCATCCTTACAGTTCTAAAAATATGTTGTGTCTTTTAAATCTAACAAAAAATTAAAAGTATTTTTATCAATAAAAATAGGCATACTTTAATAAACTTGGCAACCTCAAATTCTTAATAAAACAAATGCAATCTATAGAAATTTAGTTCTTGTAGCGGGGAGGTGGTATACACCTTTAATCCCAGCACTTGGGAGGCAGAGCCAGGCAGATCTCTGTGAATTCAAGGCCAGCCTGGTCTACAGAGTGAGATCCAGGTCAGGCTCCAAAACTACACAGAGAAACCTGTGGTGGTATTATATTCCCCAAAATATAGTGCACACTAATAAATTTATCTGGGGTCAGAGAAGAGGACAGCCACAATATTAAACATAGAGGATAGGCAGTGGTAGTACATGCCTATAATCCTAGTATTCCAGAGGCAGAAATCCCTCTGGATCTCTGTGGGTTCAAGGCCGCATTGGAAACAGCCAGGCATGTTGACACATGCCTTTAATCCCAATAAGTGAGCCTTTAATCCCAGGGAGTGATGGCAGATAGCAGAAAGATATATAAGGCGTGAGCACCAGAAACTAGAAGCATTTGGCTGGTTAAGCTTTTAGGCTTTGAGCAGCACAGATCAGCTGAGATTCATTCTGGATGAAGACTCAGAGGCTTCCAGTCTGAGGAAACAGGATCAGCTGAGGAACTGGCGAGGTGAGGTAGCTGTGACTTGTTCTTCTCTGATCTTCCAGCATTCACCCGAATATCTGGCCTCAGGTTTGTTTTTATTAATAAGACCATTTAAGATTCCTGCTACAGAAACCCTGTATTGAAAAAAACCAAAAAAGAAAAAAGGAAAAGAAATTTAATTCTTATGTTACCCCCTAATAAATTATTATAAAGTATAAAGCCACAGTTAAAGACAAGAAGTGGGTTCTTTTGTTTGTTTGTTTGTTTGTTTGGTTGGTTGGTTGGTTTTTTGAGATAGGATTTCTCTATGTAGCCCTGAAAATCCTATAACTCACTCTGTAGTCCTGCCTGGCCTCTGATTCAGAGATCCACCTGCCTCTGCTTCACAAATTCTGGGATTAAAGGTGTGTACCACCACTGTCTGGCTAAGAAGTATTCATTTTGAGTGGGATTAATTACTCCTGATGGTCTGAGTGGCTTGGAAAGTATGGGTAGAATTAATCCAAACCTTGAGGATTTTGTTTGCTTCTTTGTCTGGTGTTTGGATAGAGTGTTTCAGGCATCCAAGCCTGGTCTTAAACTTATCATGGAGCTGAGGATCACTGTCTTATTTAAGGTTTCTATTGCTGTGACCAAACACCATATCCAAAAAGCAAGATGGGGAGGAAAGGGTTTATTTGGCTTACACTACCACATTACTGTTCATCCCTGAAGGAAGTCAGGACAGGAACTCCCGGAAGCAGGAGCTGATGCAGAGGCCATGGAGAGGAGCTGCTCACTGGCTTGCTTCCCATAGCTTGCTCAGCCTGCTTTCTTATATAACCCAAGACCACCAGTGCAGTGATGACAGCACCCACAATGGGCTGCCCCATCATTGGTCACTAATTGAGAAAATGTCTTACAGCTGGATCTCATAGAAGCATTTCGTTAACTGAGGCTCCTTCCTCTCTGATGACTCTAGCTTGTGTCAAGTGGACACATAGAACCAGCCGTAGAATCACTCTGAACTTCTGCACTTCCTGATGAAATCTCCTGAGTCCTGGGTGCTGTGGGATGGTCTGTATGTCAAATGTGTTGCTGATTGGTCAATGAATAAATCACTGATTGGCAGTGGCCAGGCAGGAAGTATAGGCGGGACTAACAGAGAGGAAAATTGAGAGAACAGGAAGCTGGGAGGGGAGACACTGCCAGCCGCCATCAGGACAAGGAAGATGTAAAGTACCGGTAAGCCACAAGCCACGTGGCAAGGTATAGATTAATAGAAATGGATTAATTTAAGCTGTAAGAACAGTTAGCAAGAAGCCTGCCACGGCCATACAGTTTGAAACCAATATAAGTGTCTGTGTTTGCTTGGTCGGGTCTGAGCGGCTTGGGACTGGCGGGTGAGAGAGATTTGTCCTGACTGTGGGCCAGGCAGGAAAACTCAAGCTACACCTGGGTCTCCAGACTTATACCACCATACCTGGCTGGCTTTATGTGTTTCTGGAGATCAAACCCAGAACTTCATACATCCTCAGCAAACACTGTATCAACTAAGTTGTATCCTTATGTTGTCTTAGTTTATGTTGTGGTTGTTTTGTTTGTAGGTTAGTTCCTTTTGATAAGTTTCTGTCTTTATTACTAAAAATTAGATATCTCAAAATCTTGTACAATAAATATAAGAAAAAATGTATAAACTTGAAAATTTTAAGTGTGTATATATAAATTAACTTACTTGACCAGTATTGATTTTATGTAGTCTTTAAAAACATATAATTTAATGTCAATCTATCTATGGCTAGTTAATTAGTATAATTCACTTTATTTTTGGTCTGAATAGTGGGTGAATTGTTCCCATGTATGACATTATATGATACTATTTGTCTAAATTGCCAAGTTCATTTGAGCCTTTTTTCCTTAATGTTCTTGGTGAGTTTTTTGTTTCTGGCCCTATAAACCATCAACAAGAGGAGTGTATCAAAATGTATTCATTTAAACTAAGAAAATACTAGTAACATTTCCTTATTCTTGTAAACCTGACATAAAACATTTTCAGTAAAGAGTGGAAAATAAATCAAGTGACAATGCTGGTTTCCAGAAACTTATTAGTAGAAAAATAACAATTTCAAACCATAATACTTATTGTTATTTGTCATGAAATGATTCAGAAAATTAAGCAGGAAACACTAGCTCCTTATGACTTAGAATCTTTCATGAGTCATTGTTGATGGCAGCTTGAATGCCTAATGTGACCCATGCATGGAGCTGGACCCCGGTCATGGTGGTGGCTTCTGGGTTCAGCTTCTCTCCACCATGCTGCTATCCTGATATGCTTGAAGAATGTCTGTCAGATGGTTTCTCACACAGCAACTGATTCTTGTCCTTTAGAAAGCAACATAGAAATTGCATTGGGTTTTGTGACTCATCTTTGGGATGCAAACACAGTGGTTAGCATTTTATTGTGTTATATAAGAGTAGTCATGATTCAACATTGGAAGAAGTCAAAGGCCTCCAGGCACATCTTAGAAGCTGGATTCCAAAGGCCTGCAAAAATATAGCAATGGAGAAAGAACACTTACTATAGGATAAATACATGGTCAAGAAATAATAATGCCACCTTTGTGTCTGAAGAAATTATAGGAATTCAAAATCAGTATTGCATTTGCCAAAAGGTG